TTTTTTTCATTACTGGCATAATTATTTTAGGTCTGAATTCACTGCGGTGAAACAAGTTTTAAGAGTAGAAATTAACACTGTCAAGAATAGCATTCAAGATGATCCCATTTTCTTAAGAAACAAAATCCAAATACCCTTGAAAAATGTTACACAAGAAGTCTGTTTTAAACAGAAATGGATAGATGTGACAGTGACTAAATATGATGTATTATTTTTGGCAATACTAAAGTACTTAGAACTAACACAAATAGCAAATTCATTAAATTTTCTTCTTTTTATGAGACAACAATATGGCCTAGGTGAAGACAGGTCTTAAACTATGCTATGATCTCTCTTCCCTTGAAAGAGAAGTCGCTTATGTGTTTACAAACTCTGAAATAAAAGACAAATTGTTCATTCCCAAAGGTTCCCACCACATTCCTTATAAAACCCAAAGGACTGACTATTTTTTCCTCTTATTCTTTCTTTCTCGCTGCTTTTGTACAACCGCCATTACCCTGTCATTTCCTTTAACTGTGACTAGGAGAGCCTCCTTTTGGAAGGTTCATTAATAATTTTAGGGGATAATAAGCAGGGAGAAATATTACCAGAAAGTATTAAGAAATGGAGCATATGTCATTACTTCTGTATATGTTATATATGTTTTAAATGTTACTACAATTTTAATAAGCATGACATACTTATTATGGACTAAGATGATCATCAGATCAAGTATGAAAAATTAGTATTCTGTACACTCTAAAGCAAAAAGTATTTAAGAATCAAATGTTTTTTGGAAAAACAAGATCAGGGTCACTCTATGCAGGAAACAACAACAACAAAAAGCCCAGAAGCATAATACCTACATTTTTCTCTAGAGACATGTTTCTTCAGTGACCTGTTTTCCCTTCAGATTTATCAAATGAACACATTTTGTCACTTTGCACTTACTGTTATTTCACCGGTTAGAGTCAGTCCTCAGGTCGACCTAACCAAAAGTGCAAAGAGCATGGGATTTGAATTATTTTATCACATGCTTTATATCAGCAGCATAAAAAAAAAAATCTTTTCGGAGTTCAAATAAAAGTAAAAGCACTCTACAAATCAAGCATTTCTCCTTCGTCTAATTTTTAAAATGACTAGTCTCTAAAATCATTCTAATTACTAATATTGAGATAGGACAACTACAAATTCATTTTACTTTTCACTACTTCATTGGTTCTAGATTTTCTGTGGGACAGAGATGAAGAAGTTTCCTCCACTTTTCCTCAAAATTCATTATAAATAAAACCATCTACAAGTAATTGAAGAACATGAAAGATTAATTTTTAAAAGATAACTAGGCCACTAAAATAAATGCACTGGAAACAAATTTCAGGGTTTTTTAAAATTTTCTTGAAATTGAACTATCCCTGTGTTCTACAAAACATGAAAGTTCCATTCTCCAAGTGATGAGATTTTTAAGGAAACTAAAATGTCCACTTGAAATTATTAAATGATCAGTGACTCAATCACTAATGAATACAATCTTTAATTCTAAAAGAAATAAAATGTTCAAATGCTTTTATTTACATATTGTTTCCAGTGTGAGAGTAGTTAAAATTTCTAAGGTTTTTTTTTAAACTTAAATTTCACTGTATTTTCATACACTAAGATATTTTCTTTCAGTAATATCTTGCTTTAAAAATATGACTACAAAACTTAAAATTCAAACCATCCTGAGCAGCACCACGAGGCAAGAAACCACATCACCTATTACAACACAGCGCTGCTTACCTAATGGGCATTCACTGAAGACTATTTGACAAAATATATGTAAAGCTAGGTACACAGAATCCCTTCCCCTTATACACACGAAGGAAACAAGCCCTTAAGAACCTCATCAGGACTAAATATCTTTCAGCCCAGTGGAATAAATCCAGTCACATTAAGTGAAATACAAAGTACTGTTTTGTCCAATTCGTATTCCTTGGAATACAATTCTTTAATCACAAAGAACAAAAGAAATGGAAGTAAATCTTAAGATCTAAGTTTATTTTTATATCAGAATATTAAAATTTTAAAAATACTGGCAGCAATCAATCCTTCTATTCTTTTTAAATAGCAAATACTCCAGAACATAAAGTCAGTTTACATACACCATGGGGAAGGAGCACCCTAAGAGCCACTCCAGAAAACTCTTAAGCTTTGGGTCCCTCCACTCAACAGGTACTTGAACAGGTCTCCAAATTAACATTCTTTTCCAAAATCTATTTTTCTGAATTCCAAGATTTAAAAAGGAAGTATTATGGTATTGATGAAAGTGTACTCACCATTGGCTTCATTTAACAAATAATGAAGACAAAAATAGGGGGTGGAGGGTAAATATAATTATCTACTTCCTAAATCTGTTTTTAGGTGCCCCTGAGACAATGAAAATGATAATTCTCAGAAGAAAAAAAAGTCTTTGCCAACATTTAAAGTGGCTCTACTCAAGGAAGACATAAAAGTCCAAATATACCACCTCTTCAACTCCAGCGAGTAAAGGATATCGAAATTCTTCTGACGGTAAGGGAGAAAAAAAGTATTTTTAAAAAGTCAAATGTTTATAGGTTTACATCAGAGGCAAAAATTTTAATCTCCTGTAGTATATACTAAATTCAGATTAATCAACAGAGGTTGTCTGCCCCAACATGGGGGTTTAAGGCCCCCTTGGATTTAAGGCCCCCAAATGTAAAACAATCGCCACCGAAGAAAGGGGGCTTTGGGAACTCGTTTACGAGAAAAAGAGCAAACTGGGGCGGGGGGGGGGGATGGGAGGGATGGGGGGAGGAGAGGAAATCTTCCCTAAGCGGGGAAAAAACTCAAAGAGAAAGATAGGAATAGGCAGCCTCGATTCGCAAAGGCGTAAAACGCCCGGAAAGTGATGGGGGTAAGAAAGGGAGAAAGCAACTCTTCTGAAATATAAAGAGAGAAAAAGAGGTTCTACCGGGAGGGGAAAGGGGAATGTTTGAAGAAATGGGGAGGCTGCCCTATCCTAGAGTGATGGATTGCTAAAAGACCAGGTTCATTTCTCCACGCTCATGTGATCACCATCAAGAAAATTAAGAGTTAGAGGCCGTTTTCCTTACGTTTTCCCCAACACAGGCGGAATGTCAGTAGCAAACAGACAGGGGTGACGCGGTAGGGCGCAACAGCATCTCGGTTAGAGAGGGAAGAAACTTCGCAAGAGGAAGCAGCAGCTCCTCTCCCGGCCCCTAGCACCGGCCGGCGAAGTTGCGCCACAGGCGCCCCTACTTCGCGGGGCGGGCGCCCCCCTCTCCTGCCCCTCTCCGTACGCACAGCCACGCCGCCCTCGACCCTTTAAAGTGCCCCCGAAGTCCAACTACGCCTCCGCCTTCTCCTACCCACAAACCCATCTCAACTAAGTTCCACGAAAAGCTCCCGCCCAGAGCGCGGCCTGTTCCGGACAACAGGTGGGCAGTGGCGCCAGCAGGGCTCGGCCTCCCTAGCCAGGCCCACTCCACTCCTCCCCGGCCCGGACCTGGGGGCGCCCGGCTCCGGGACGGGGAGGGGGAGCTCGCTCCCTTACCTCCGCCATATTTGCCGTACTGACGGGTCACATCTCCGCGGCGGCCGCAGCTGGGTCACGGCCAGAACCCGGATGTGAGACTCGGCAACGGGACTCCAGCCTCCGCCGCCTCTGCCGCTCCCGCCGCCGCTGCCTCGGCGGGAACGCGCAGGAGCCGCCCGAGCGCGCCCACCACACCCCACTCCGCCCCCTCGCGGCGTCGGGGCTCAGCGGGACTGGAGGGGAAAGGCCGGAACGCGCGCGCAGGAACAGGAGCGCGCGCGGCCCCGAGGCAGCCCTCCCCCAGAGGAGCGCGGAGGCGGAGCCAAGGTGGGTGTAGAGCCGGGGGTGGGCACCTCGGCATCTGGCGCCTCCCCAGCCCAGCGGATCCGCGACCCCAGCCTGGGAGCGGGCTCTAGGGACTAGAGGTGAAGGAAACTAGCTAAAGGAGACACGTCCAGCATTCATATCGCTGGGGGAAAGATACGATGTATTTTACGTGTAGGCCTTTTTTGAAGTCCCATTTGTTGAAAAAACGGATGTTGCTGTGATTGCAACAACGGCAAGCAGCGCGCTTTGAAAGCGGTTATCCCTTGGCGGATACTTCTCTTGGCTCTTTCCCGACAGAAATTGTAAAATCCCATGTAACAAAATTTTACAGGTCACAGCAGGGATTAAGAAAAGGGACTGTACTGGGTAGACTGCCATTCTCATGTATCATTTGCTTTTCCTTACACACCTTCTGCAATGCCAGTAGTAACATAACTGTGCAATGGTTCTGCACTAGAGAAAATTTCTAAATGTGAAATACTGAAAAGCTGCTCTTTAATAGATATAATCTCCAATTCGACTGTATAGGTGGAGAATTTGCTGACGTGCAATGCCTGAAACTAAAAGTTTATTGTATTGGCCGAGAACTGCAAACTGGCTTTAGTGCCAATTCTGATGATTGCCAGAGCCAATGATTGCAAAATAACAAACGTGTTTCACTTCCATTACTATGGCAGATACTGGGTAATGCAAACATGATATTAAAACGTGTACTAACATATTTTACCAAACCAGAAGTTAGAAAGTCTTATTTCAAAAAAAAAAAAAGAAAGTCTTATTTCATAAATACCGTTTTCCACCAAACGTTCAAGAGTTCTTCTTAATGCAATTTCAAAAATGACTTCCAAATCAATCAATTAAATATGAAACTTATTTGTATCCTCCAAATAATGCTTTGCCAGCACAATATATTACATAAATGTGCACGTATACAATTTTTCTTTAAACCGATACAATGAAATATGGGGAAGACTGTTATAGATTATTTGTATTCCCTTAAAATTCTAGATTCTATTAAGTAGTTTCTTCTTTCAAAGATTCAACATTTAACTTGAAATTCTTATGTCCAATAATAATTTGTGCATGAATATTTTGTGCATTTATAGGTATATGAAGTAGCTGCTAAGTGAAAGGACATTACCTGGTAATATGACAGGAAAAGAGTCCACAGACAGTCTGTAAACCAATTAAACATAAACATCTGATGCACATTTTCTACTGAAAGAAAAGCAAGGGAAAGAAGAGAAAGGAAAACTTTAAGGTTCCCAAATCTACAAACAATTTTTACCATTAACTGTACTGTACAGTATTTTCACTTTATTTTTTAGAATACTTATATAGAAGTGTTTTTCAGGATTCCTTGGGGGAATAAATATTTTAGCATAAGTATATAGTTTCTAAGAGTTACCCTGTTGAATTACCTTAGTCCTTCTGATTTGAAACAGAAATGACTTTTTTTTGTTGTTTTTTGTTTTTTTTTATAAGTCAGTTCCTAGTGCAACACTTTTCACTTTGAGATGCTTGATGGAAACAGCTGTTACGGCAAAGAACAATGGATGTGCATAGAACTGAGGTGGGTAAAGATAAGAATAAGGGGCCTAGAGGTAGACACTCAGGCTTTATAAAACAACTGGATTAAAGGAGAATTATCCATTTAAATGGGAAAGCTAATATTTGAAATTTACCTGGTTATCAAAAGGAAGATTAAACATTATTGTCAAAATGCAAGGCACAGGAATAATTTGCTTGAAGAATCTCCGATTCTTCAGTTATCAGTAAGAATCCTGATTGTGATAAAGAGCTGGGGCTCACAGTCCCTTAAGCTACTCAATGAATTCTGAAATTGTCAAGAATATCGAATCTAGGACATACTTGAATGGGTATCCATCTCACTGATAAATGACTTCAAGTTTATTAATACTGTGCATCAATTTTACTATTTTTAAGTGGCATTATCATTTAAGGGAAAAAAAATTCCCTCTACATTTTTTTTTGTAAATGTGGATTAAATGATTTTTTTTTAATTCAGATATTCTAAAGGAAAAGAGAAACAGCTCCAATGTTGTAAGTCACTGTTCACATATTGAATTCAGTATAGTTTTACCCACCTTCCATCTTACTCTAGTGATATACTTATCTTTAAAGTTTTTAGGAGGGACTTCCCTAGCTAGCAGTCCAGTGGTCAAGACTCCATGCTCCCAATGCCGAGGGCATGGGTTCAATCCCTTGTTGGGTAACTAAGGACGTGCATGCAGTACCACGTGGCCAAAAAATAAAATAAAATGCTTATTTTAAAGAAAAATGAGGAGCCATCTTGTCATGTCATCATGTCATGTGTTAGTCGCTCAGTCGTGTCCAACTCTTTGTGACCCCTGGACTGTAGCCCTCCAGCCTCCACTGTCCATGGGATTCTCCAGGCAAGAGTACTGGAGTGGGTTGCCATTTCCTTCTCCAGGGGATCTTCCCAACCCAGGGATCGAACTTGGGTCTTAAAGAATGCAAAGTCTTTCTCAAAACTCTTGTATACCTCTTTAGTATCAAATATGTACAAAGTAACTATTCATTAGTCACAGAATCCTAATGTTGGATGCGACCTTAGAGGTCTTCAGTCAATTTCTAAACTGTCTAGGTAGGAATCCCTCATTCTTTTTCCCCACTACCAGGCTTTCCTGCCTATGCTTAAACACCTCCAATGTACTCACCGTCTCATAAAAAGGCTGTTCTTTTCCAAAAAACCTCTAATGTTTGGAACATTCTTCTTTTTATCAAACCAGAGTCTACCTCCTTGTTACTGTCACCCCTTACCCTGAGTTCTTCAGCACTTTGGATTAATTCAACAGATATCTTCTTTGTATCCAAATACAAACACTCAACATTTATACTTGGGTTAACAAAAAATAAATCTTTAAAGACTACTGATACTAGAGGAGCTGAAAGGGGACATTACAGAGTTGAAGGCATGAGAAAATTCACCATTACATATGAGCTGTTTAAAATTATTATAGTTTATAGTCCTTATTATTGTGATATCAAAAATGGTAGTTCTGTTAGAATTGTGTAGTAAAATGTTTACAGTTAAGCAAAAAGGTGTGGTTAATTCTAATTATATGTGAGATTTGTGGCTAATGTCCCAAAACAAAAAAAATCACTACAAAGCCTGAATAAATGCCTCTTTAGCTCCCATTCCCCTCCTAAAGGCTTCCTTATGTTCAGGCAAACTTACATTAACTTTTACCATATTAAAGTTATTCAAAACTGCTATTATATTGGGAAACTTTTTAAGCAATTTACTGCATATTCTATTTAAAAAGTTATTTAACAATTTTATAGAGGCTGCAGTACACACACATACACACACACAAACCCTTCAAAGTTATTATTTTGCTTTTAACAAAAGCATTTTAAAGTCTCAATTTTTCTTCAACCAGTACACCAAACTAATCAATAAATAAACCTGGCAGTTTACATGTACCTAAGAAATATATCCTTTTATTCAGGACCAATACCTGATTCAGATATAAGGAATACTATATATACATGTTATGCAATTCAAAAAAGTACCTCTCAAAATGCATCAAGAAAATAATTTGCAACAATTTAGACTCTGGGGCTGTTTGAATGAAATAGATTAATACAGTACATTCAAAACCCTAAAACCAAATTCTGTATCTAACAATTTTCAGAGTCCCTTTTGAGACTATTCCTTAAATTTTTATTTAAAAGTGACAGCTTGCACATGATGTGCAGGTAAAAATTTATGGGTAACTACTAATTCGATGGAGAACACCTAAATGTCAAAAACTTCACCTATTTTTGAAAATGACATTTTAGATAAATTGAGAGTTTTACCTTTACTGTAGCAGGCAGCATGTAAATTACAAAGCATTAATGCATTACATTGGAAGTCCCACATCCATGCGACAATTAGCATCATCTTTTTCTCGGTTTGATTTTTATTAACGCCACCCCAAAACACGTATATAGCCTTTTGGTTCTGCAAAGAACAGGTCTGGTTTTCCTTTTTGTAATTTTTACATACAGTTTTATCCAGTGGCTCCATTTTATCAGATTATCACAAACTGGTATTTTAATAATATCGTTGACATGATTTTTTAATCTCATCCAAACTCTGGAAATTATTGGCCCATCAACCGTTCTCAAACACTGGAAGAGTAATATAAACATTTATATACTTGAGGGAGTTTGGACTTTCCCTCCCTTAATCTCCAAGTGTGCCCCTGCCTACCAGCATCACATCCGTCTTGTCTGCATTGAACCTCAACCAGTTGGTTCTTAACCACGTCCGAAACTCAGCCAGGCACTGGGAGAATCGAGCCACCACACCATCTGGATCAAAGGAAACAGAGCCTCAGTAGTAACGAGACTGGAGACGATGATCTTACAAGCTCAGTATTCACCCCATCTCTAATTTTTAAAGACAGCCAGGAATTAGGACAGGAATCCCATTATAATTTTAGAAAAACATTAATGAGCCTTGAGTCATGCAATTTGCAGCTGATGATAAAGGAATAAAAGTCACTCAATAAATAGGTCGCCTCATTCCACCCATGACTGAAGAAAGGTTCACTCAAGTCCGGGTCACCTCAGCTAAGCGGCCTCAGTAGATCGGCCAGTCTTGTAACTGCATAAGCTTTTCTGCAAAATTAAAGAGTTTTAGCGTTGGAGGAAGTTTTAGGGATAACTGCGGCCCAGAGAGAAGTAGTGACTCGCCCAAGGTCACACAGCAAAACGAGGACTAGAGATGGGTTCCAGGCCAGAGATCTTTCCACCAAAAGCTGAAAGAACAAGGCCATTCAAAGGTGGGGGAGGCATCTGTCCCCAGGGATCCTCCCACGGCCTGCGAGGACCTCTTTCCCTCACAACAATGCCCTCTTCGGGCCTCTCCTCCCTCCCTTACTCCCTCCGAAAAGGGCTGCTTTGCCCAGGACCCTGCTCACCACCAGGGATGCAGTGGGAGCAGGAGTCTCCCTGGGCTGAGACAAGACCCGGAGATACAGCTCGAAAGAGGCGGGGCCACAGCGGCCGACCGGGTTCCTGGGCCGACTGGAGCAAGGGGCGGAAGCGGACAGGGCGAGGCGAACTCACTCCGCAGCGGATTCCCAACGCGCCGCCGCCAACGCCAAAGCAAAAGACCCAGTTGGGCAGGGGTGGGCGGTGGAGAGGGGCTGCGCATGCGTCTTGGGTGGCCGGCGCCACTCCGGGAGGGGCAGCCCGCTGGGCGCGCTCTCTTAGCCCCTCCCCGGAAGTGAAGGGTCTTCCGGGCGGTACTCTGCGGTGGGGGAGGGGAAGGAGAGAAAGGAGACCGAGGACACCTCGGTAGCCCCTCATCCCGAACAGGACTAGGAGAGGAGAGATGGTTTATGGAGGCTGCACTTACAGCCGCTGGTGCTGCCGCCGCCGCCACCTCCGCTGCTGCCGCCACCGCCTGAAGAAGCCCCATCCATCCGCCTGCAGCCCGGGAGACTCAGAGCCTGGGAGGGGCCTGAGGCCCGGGCCGCCCGCCTCCTTCTTCTAGTCGTCGTCCGGAGCTTCCTCCTGCTCCACCAACCCTCTGCCCTCCCCTCCGCCTCCTCCCTCCTCCTCGGCGTCCAGTCGCCAGCCAACCGCGCGGCCGCTTGTTGAGCCAGGGCTCCACCGTCTCCATGACGCCCGGCAAACATTCCCGTGCCTTCGCCCGAGCCGCTAACGCCGGCTTTGGGGTACAGGGGCTTCAGAAGCAGCGAGGGAAAAGGCGGGTGACCATTCCCCAGCCAGTCGCCACCATGCCCGTCTCTCCAGTAAACGGCCGCAGGCAGCCGAGCGTCGGGGTGTAAGTTCGGACGCTGAAACTTTAGTCCATTTCCTTGGGTCCCAGAGGGAACCCTTTTAGAACTTACCTCTTCATCTGTGTTAGGTCAGCAACCTTGTAACCTCCGAGGTGGCAGTGTCTCCTTCCTTGGCATAGTACAGCCTTTTCCAGACCTCTTTTGGGGAAAATACCTAGTTTGTTTAGGACCACCATTCCTCCTGGCACTCCCGGTGTGTTGGTTTATTTCTCTCCAACTTGCCTTCAAGCTGTACCCAGATGTTCAATCTCTCAGCTTCTGTGAGCCACCAGACTGAACATTACTATGCTCTGTAGTCGAGGTTTTTTTTACTCCTCCTCATACCATCCTGCCTTAAAACTCATTCCAGGTTACAACCTTCTGTTGTTCTGATCAGTTGGATTAAGGGCTGGACAGAAGCCCACAGCTTTACAGTTGTCTCGCTTAAAACTTCAAATAGTCGCTTAGTCTATCTATTCCACTAAAATTTCCTAATTAATACATTCTCCCACACTTCCAGATCACTTTTGTTCTCCTCAAACCCTCAGCAATCTCGTCCAGCTCAGCTAATCTTTCTTGAGCAGAACTTGTTTGAAAGGTGCTGGGAGAGAAGCTTCTTTTTTGTCTTGGGTATGGTACTCAGGTTTTTGTCCATCCTGAAACATGAAAGTGTTAGTTACTCAGTCGTGTCCGACTCTTCACCATCCTATGTGCTGTAGCATCCAGGCTCCTCTCTCCAGTGGAATTCTACAGGCAAGAATACTGGAGTGGGTAGCCGTTCCCTTCTTTAGGGGATCTTCCCAACCCAGGGATCAAACCCAGGTCTTCAGGCAGATTCTTTACCATCTGAGCCACCAAGGTTTGTCTATCCTACCACTCCACTAAAAACAGCTTGTGTGAAGGTCAGCAATAACTGTCCAGCCAAGTGTAATGGCCATTTCTGTTTCTTAACTCAGCCATCAGCAGCTTTGATCTAATTTACCAGTTCCTGAGTTTTGAATCACTTCATTTGGTTTCTGGGACACCACTGTCTCCTAATTCTCCTCTTGCTTTATGCCTGCTGGTGCTGCTAAGTCGCTTCAGTCGTGTCCGACTCTGTGCGACCCCATAGATGGCAGCCCACCCTGCGCCCCCCCTCCCCGTCCCTGGGATTTTCCAGGTGAGAGTACTGGAGTGGGGTGCCATTTCCTTCCCCAATGCATGAAAGTGAAAAGTGAAAGTGAAGTCTCTCAGTTTTGTCCGAGTCTTTGCAACCCCATGGACCACAGCCTACCAGGCTCCTCCGTCCATGGGATTTTCCAGGCGAGAGGACTGGCGTGGGGTCCATTGCCTTCTCCATGCTTTATGCCTGCTGCTTTTCAAAATACTTTGCTGTTAGGTCTTCAGTCTCTCGCATATCTAAATATTGGAGTGTTGATGGGATCGGTCGGTCTTACAACCTTTTCTCTTCACCCTTGTTTTTTGCCTCTAAAAATTATCCATGTGCTCACAGTTTACAAGTTTCTCTCTCCAGCCAATACCTCTCCCAAGAAAACAGGCTTAAAATCAGATAGCTGCAAAGTTAATGGGCATCTCAAAATTCATATTTAAAACTGAACTTATTCCCCCCTAATCAAATCTGCAGTCTCCCTTTTCAGTAAATGACAGTTTCCATTCTTCCACTTACTCAGTAAAAAGACCTTAGTTTACCTTTGACATCTCAATACCCCCATCCACCAGTAGTTTCTACCATCTCTGCCTGCAAAATAAGTCCAGACTATCACTCCAGTGTCAGTAACTGTCACATTGCAGTAAACTCCTAAATGGTCTCTTTACTGTCACCTTCATTCAACATAGTAATCACTGTGGCTCTTCTCAAAAGTTTCCCGATTCTTCCCATTTCCCTCAGAATAATAGCTCATCCTCTGTAGGCCACGCAGGATCTCACCTTGGACTCTTCCCCTTGGCTAGTTATACTCTGTATTGTTCCACAACAATATCAAGCACCTTTTCCCACTTCAGGACCTCTTCAACAGCATTTGCTGTTCTTTGGAATATTGTACCCTTAGTCATTTCATAATTTATTTGTTTTCTTCAGCTGTCACCTTATCAAGGAGTCCTTCTCTAACTACCCAACATAAAATAATGTACTCTTCCCAATGCTTCCAGTTCCTCAACTTGCTTTATTGTTCTTCAAAAAGTTTATTCTATTTGGTATATTATATACTTTTTTGTTAATTTGTTTTCATCCAAGCTATGATGTACTCCATGAAGGCAGAGGTTTTTGTTTTGTTCACTGCTGTTGCCTAGACTGAAGATAATAAATATTTGCTGGCAGCAAACAAATGAGTGTAATATATACTTTAGTAACATTGGTTACTGGTCATCTTGTCTGTTTTTTTTTTACTTGTTGGTCTGGAAATCTCAAAGTAAAATTAAGTCGATTTCATGTAAATTCTTAAAAAGTCATAAAACTCTCATAGTACCTGAGAGAGTGTTAGAAAAATTCCCTTGGGGATTTCTTAAACAATGACACATTCATGGGAGATTACCTATTCAGGAATGAGTAGGGTGGGAGATGGACACTGACTTGAGTCGATGAACATGAGTTTGAGCAAGCTCTGGGAGTTGATGGACAGGGAAGCCTGGCGTGCTGCAATCCATGGGGAAAAGGCCCACAAAGAGTCAGACATAACTGAGTGACTGAACTGAACTGGGGTGGGAGATAGAAAGTAGCATAACCTTCACTTTTTCAGGTAGCCGTATTATCTAGTTAAAAACAAAATTTCTTACATAATAAAGTTTACAACCATTGGTTTGACCTAATATTTCTCATCTTTCTCAGTTTAGGATTTAATACTGATCTAAGAAAGGATCTCATGAAACATGTATTTATCAATTTTTCACTTTCCCACTCCAGTGTTTCCTATATTGGGTCTTTCCTATTGGCTTAACAATATAGATTTTCCTCAGCTTACCATGAGGTTATGTCCCAGTAAACCCATCTTAAGTTGAAAATATCATTAAATAGAAAATGGACTTAATACACTGAGCCTACCAAGCATCATGGGCACATGTGCTAAGTTACTTCAGTCTACTTGTTGCCTCCCCTTGTGATTGCACGATTGACTGGGAGCTGTGGGAGTATCATTTTATATTGTTGGCCCAGGAAAAGAAATTCGAAGTAGGATTTCTAATGAGCATGTATTACCTTCACAACATTGTAAAGTCAAAAAATCATAGTTTGGGGGTTGGCTGTATTGGACAATCTTCCACTGTAGTGAAAAAAAAGCACTAGTGCTTTCTTCAATGCTTTTATCTCACTTCTTTGCCCAGTTTATCTATTCATTTCCTTTTGATTTGGGTGGGTGAGGGGGAGAGTAGTTTTTATCTGTTCTTGTGTGTTACTTTTTGCTTTAGGATCTTTAGCATATTAATCATAATTATTTTAAATTCCCAGTCTTAACAATTCCAAAATCTCTGTCATATCTGTTGTGGCTCGAATGCTTGTTTCTTCAGACTGCTTTATGCCTTTTGGTATGCCATGTATTTTGTTGAAAGCCAAACATGTTGCATCAGGTAATATGAACTGAGATAAGTAAGCACTTAGTGTGAAGTTTTATGTTTATTTGCTTAGGAATCAGGCTGTTTACTGTAGCTGTAGGTTCCCGAGACTTCAGTTTTCTCTAGTGTCCTGGTTTTTTTGTCTCCTCTGGTTTTTAGGTTTCCCTAGAGACTCCTGCTTAGAGTCTGAGCCTTGCAGTTCTTCCCATTGTAATCCCCTGTTATTATACAGGAGCCCTGTTGATGTGGTAAAATGTGCTGGGTGAGAATGGGAAGGCAGAGAGAAGTGTGCCTTAATCCTATGGTTAGGTCTTAATCTTTTAGTGGGCCTTTTCCCCTGGGTCATGACCTTCATAAGTAATTCTCAGAATTTTTTTTTTTTTTTTTTAGGTGGAACCAGAAGTTTACTTAAAATAAGGTATTTCCCTTTCCCCATGTTGCTTAGGCTCTGGTAAAATGGTTTTCCTTGAGGGCAGGCCTTTGTTAAGAGTGAACATTATATTTCAGAATGGTTACTTCCTGTTCCCCTGCTGAAACTATCAGGGAATTTTACTCTGACCTTCATCCTGGGAGCTTGGTGGAGCTCCTGAAGGTACAACTTGATAAAAGTGTGCAATTTTTTCTCTTTTGAATTAGTCTACACTCATTTTTCAGCAATTAGGCTATTGCCTGTTAGGTTTTCCTTCCACTTGTTAGCTCTGGTGGCAGTTTCAGTAAGTTGTGATTCTGTTATTCCTCCATCTCTTTCAGTACAGGGCTTTGCATGTAACCTCAGTTCTCTGATGGGTCTGAGAAGACCCATTGGTTTTCAGTTTGCTAAGCCTTTTCTCGTGAGTGCTGGATGGATATCTTTCCAGCCTTTACATGTCAGACCATAAACCACAAGTATCTGTGTTTACTCTTTAATCTTTGCATTCTGTTGTCTCCATTGCTGTATGAAAATTACTGAGGTCAATAATGAGTAACCTAAAGGTTTCAAAAGTCACCAAATTCAGTGGGCTTGCTTTTCACCTCTCACGGCATTTAACAATATCAATTTTCCCCTCTTTAACCCTGAACCAGCCCTGAACTCGTTCACTTATTACTAGGCTAGGTGCCTTTTTTCTAGTTTCACCTACTACTTCCAGTTTCTCTCCTTGGCCCTATTACCTTCTCTTTGTAGCTCTAGGTTTTTATTTTGGAACTCAGTTCATTTATTACCATCTCCATGAAAGTTTCTCAAATCTGTATCTCTAGTTCTCACTTCTGTTCCTTGAAATTCACTTTCCTCTTGATTTTCAACTGCTACCAAACAACTCCACCAGATTAGCACTCATAGCATGTAATATTGAACATGTCTACAATTTAACTTCTTATTGTGCTTTAGAAATAAAGGCTAATTTAATCATGACCTTAACTTTATGAGGCCAGTACTGTTATTAACCTTAATTTATGTATGAGGAAAGAAACAGATTAAGAAACC